GCAGAAAAGGTTACAGTGAGCCGCTGTCATGTGTCACAGTAAAAATAACCAGCCAGGAGAGGGCGCATTTTACCTGTGTTTTGAGCTGGACTGCAATCTGAAAGCTGTGTGGCTGGGTCGATGACAGACTTGACCGAACACAAAATAATTTTTATGAAAGCTTTATTTACGACTGAACATAGAAAATGTAGCACATTAATAAAATAAAAGACTGAGATGCGTCAAATGGGACTAACAAATAGAAAAGTATACAAAAACAGACAACAGTAGCTGCTTGTGACCACTTTCAGGCATGTTGTATGTGCCCGAAACACGTGGAAAACAACTAATCTCCCCTGCTTCATGGCTGTTCACACGACCCACGATGTGACACCGTTCAAACTCCCAAACGACGATATTTTACTCTTAATATCAGCCGTGTTGCAATGGTGATTGCAGACACATCAGGTCTGAATAAGCACAGCTCAACGTTCGTCTCACTTCACTTCGTGGTCCAAGTCTGATGAGATTTCATTGTTGTGAAAGTTGACATGAAAGTGTGGATAGTAGAAAGAATAGAAGGAATGGTTGACTGCGTGTTACGGCAAGCGAGGATTTTTTTCATTTTAAAACAAAGCATTACTCGACAAGGAACGGTGCCTTTTTTTTTCCTTTTTTAAACCGGCCATGTGAGTGCTGTTTTACTGCCGCCGTGCTGCTGCGTTATGAGGCACTATTTGGAAAGAAAGGTTAAGGTTAAGTGATTAAACGTTGAAACCTCTTTCTGTGTACCGTCTTTCTTTGTAAATATCTCATGTTACAGTATGGGCACCTGTGACTTAGACAGGTGCGGTTTGTGTGTGTACAAAATGTTTTTTTCCTTTAAAAATGTAGTGGATTCGCCTTCTAATCAGGTGCGCTCTATAGTCTGGAAATTATGGGACTAAGAAAAAAATTTTGACATATGCTGCATGAATGGACCCAAAGACTAATGAACAGATGTTACTCCACATTTAATGGATGAGATGCCCAAGAATTGTAATGCCTGCTGGTAGTTAGATGTTCTTCAAATATGCTGCATTATAAGCAAACATTATCTTACTTTTCCTACCTGTCAGCACATGAGATGATATTAACTGGAGATTGGTGAGTTTTAATTATTATACATGTATATTTTATTAATTCAGACATAAATAAGTTGAGTGATTTAAAAAGTGCTGACCAAGTTTACATAATTACCGTATTTTCCGCACTAAAAGGTGGACTGGATTATGAGGCACACCTTCAATGAATGGCTATTTTGTAATTTTTTTTCGTACATTGGACACGTCGCTTTATAAGGCGCAATCTACAATGCCTCCACTAGATGGTGGTACGCTCCTTCCATTCAACTCAAGAGGCGTCCGTTCAACTCGAGAGGCGTTCATGACCGCCCTGAAAAACGTAAATTAACTATTACTGTACTTAAATGAAACTACGAAAATTGAAAATAATGCATCAAAACAGAAAATCAAGCGAGGGAATCACAAAATAAATTCTATATCCCCCCTACAGAATTTTTTTGTGATTTCCTCGCTTGATTTTCTTTGTAGTTTCATTGAAGTAACAATTTATTTACGTTTTTCGGAGGCGGCCATGAACGCCTCTCGAGTGGACCGCAAGAAGAGAAGGCACGGAGACGGACAAAGACATATAGTACCTGTATTTGTTGAGACTGTGAAAACCATTAATAAAGTCTGTGTTTTAAAAAAAGTAAAACCACAGCTCTCCTTTTTTCAACAAATACAGTTGTGTCTTTGTCCGCCTCCGAGCCTTCTCTTCTTCCGTTCAACTCAAGAGGCGTTCATGACCACCTCCGAAAAACGCATTGGCATTTCCTTGATCATAGTTCCAACAGAACGATGTCAGGAGTAGTTATTTTTTCCTTTGTTGTGTATTCACAAATGATGAAATCACAATATAAATTCTGTGGGGGGGGGGCTATAGAATTTATTTTGTGATATCCTCGCTTGCTTTTCAGTTTTTATGTATTATTTTCAATGTTTGTAATTTCATTGAAGTAATCGTTAGTTTACGTTTTTCGGAAGCAGTCTTGAATGCCTCTTGAGTCAAACTGAAGAAGAGAAGGCACGGAGGCGGACAAAGACGTACGTGCATTTGTTGAGACTGTTTTAAAAAAACTACACAACAGCTCTCCTTTTTTCGGAGCTGCAACAAAACTGTATTTAATAAAGCAGTGACACAGTTCACTGAACCAACTGCAAGTTATAACATTGTAAGCATGTCTCCAGCAAGCAGCCATCTTAGGGTCGACATATTATCGTAATGACCATAGACAAGGCGCACCGGAATTAAAGGCGCGCTGTGAGCTTTTAAGAAAATTGAAGACTTTTCGATGTGCCCTGTAGTGCAGAAAATACGGTATGTTTCAAGAAATGAAGTGCCATTTCACAATTGGTAAAGCTTCTGGACATTTGCTTATGGCTTTATATGATAAATTAAGTGATTAAGTACAGCCCACATTTACATTTTGTATCATGCTTCATTACACAGAACATATTGAAAGGGGTAACGCTACTATGCATTATTTCTGTAATCTGCACTTCAGTTTGCGTGTTACTGATTTAGAATATAGTATATTGTAAGGTCCTTGTTTTTGTTGAAAGGATAACAGTTGCCGACACTCTTCAGTTGCTTCATTTCATAATTGGAAACAAAACATAGTCATTTAAAAACTGCTGTCGACCACAGGTCACGCCCAGTCACCCAACACGCTGACTGCCTGCTGAAAGAGACAGGCTATAGAAATGCTTGATTTTTCAATGTTCGTTAAATTAAAAAGCCACTATTCATTTCAATATATGCCAAAAAAGATATGCTCTGTGACATCAACGTACATTTGTAAAACAGACACACGCACGCACGCACATGACGCACGCACGCACGCGCGCGCGCACACACACACACACACACACACACACACACACACACACACACACACACACACACACACACACACACCGTAATTGCAGGTCGAGTCGTCGCGACTTGCCTTATTGGAGGCAGACATGTTTCGCCGCCATCTTTCTGCTCTAGATAACCAAAAGAGGCACAACACCCGATCAGACATGTGCTGGAACAATGACTACAGCATATATGACAATTGCAATGTGCTTACTCCGTCACTTGAGGGAATATTATAAGTCCTTTGTGATATTCACCTCTGCTAAAGAAATTGGTGGTAGGCTTGCAAAGTGTGGTCTCTTTAGAAGCACCGCAGTTTTATTTGCTAAACAATTCAAAATGCATGCGCTTGAAACTTTTTATGGCCTTCTTACTCTTTTAAACTGCAATAATCCTTCGATTCTCTGTTCCTTTGCCTTCCATTTCAAAAACATCACATAGACACTGATAAACAAAGGCACATAGAGAGCCACTTTTAACTTAATACAACTATATACATGCTGGAAAGTATGTGGATTCACCATTGCTACATTGTCCCCACCTAGCAGGAAGCTGTCCTCAGCAACTAAAATGCCCACAAAGTCTCGCAAGTCACCGTTGCTCATGAGGCCACCCGGTTGGTCCCTTGTCCAGCACAGGGAAAGACTGGACACCCAGAGGCTGGTCCACCAGCCTAGCATTCCCCTTTGATGATATCAAGGGCCGATACTGGTCCAGTTGGTCCTGATGAAGGACTACCACACAATTTCTCCTTTATACCTGCACTTTTTCGGTATTGGAAAATGATCAATACACATTATTGCACAACAAGGGGTAGGGCTAGATAAGTTGTATACTTCTCCCTACTCCTTTGAACATATAACTGTGATGATGTTTGTATCACTTACTTTTATTTTTCCTTTTATAATTTTAGTTTGGATTTTGACAATCTGTTATTGTGTGTTTTACATATGTTCAATGAACAATAAACAAACAAACAAACAAACAAACAAACAAACAAACTCAGAAAACCATGTCTGATAGCTTCTCTAGGATAGTGCAGGGTGGGTCATCAGCTTGTGCTGAAAGTCTGTCCTTCAAGTTACGGGTGAAACCGAAGGAGATAAAGTACTACAGCCAGTAGTTCAGTTTCTTTAGAGTGGATGGCTGTAGAATGGAATGACTTTCTCCCTGTATTTTGCCTCTTGTCTGTATCAACGATGAAAGGCCGCTGCATGTTGGGGCAAGCCAGCACTTGGGCCTCCACGAGTGCTGACTGAAGCAAGCAGAAGGTACACTCACATTTGTCTGTCCATTTGAAAAGCCAGCCTTTTTGAGTCAGTCGATGCAGTGGGCCGCTTAGGGATGTAACAATATCCAAACATCACAGTAAGTGATCACGATATGAAATTCACAACCAATTATCAATCAATCAACCAAACTTTATTTATATAGCACTTTTCATATATTGCATAAAAATGCAACTCAGTGCTGTTAAAAAAAAAAATTAATTACAACATGAAAAGAGGACCCCTCTGCCCCAACACACACAGATATCTCCACAAGCATGACAATGCTCACACACACACATGCAGCACACAATGGGAGAGTAAACATGACAAATTGAAAGAGCATATTTTCATTCAGAAGTTAAAAATGAATCTATTTTGACCAAAAGTGTGGCATTATTAAAATTGTCTTTTAATAAAACAGAAACAAACGGAGCTGAGTATTGCCCATGGCCTTAGCGAATCAGGGCAAAGAATACAAGTGGGGTGTCAGCAAATGAGAGGTGCCATTTGTCACCTTCGGGACGTCAGGGGCTTGCTGCGCGATCTGTCTCGCTCTTTTTCCTGACGGGACCTGAATGGGAGCAGACGTATTCTTCGGCTGTTCTAAAGAGGTGTTTCGGGAGAAGAGTGTGTCGTTCTACACGTCGAGCATTGTTCCTGGCTAACGTAGCTGTTCGCTTTTTTACATCCGGAATTGCGCCGACCGTGTAACGTCATCGGCGCCTCGTTCAACATTCTTCTGGCCGGGTCCTGTGTCTTTTGCAGAGTTTCTGATTAAGGACAGCGGTGGAATTAGCGTGTCTTCTGTGGAGAGGATTCCATTACGGTGCCCTGAATTCCGAAAGTGCGGGAAAAAGGGTACAGTGGTGGTGGCGAGCCAACCAAAAGAAAATATATTACGTGATAAACTGTTTTTTGACTGGTTAGTGAATTGGTAATGGTCAAAGAAATTAACTGCTAAGGCAAGAGTTGATAGGAAAACTCTGTGTTTGGTTGCTAAATTCACAATTGAAAGAGAAAAGAAAAAGAAAAAATTGACCATAGGAAGGTGCCAGTTGATACAAGCTAAGAATCCGTTTCGGAGAAACTAAAGTCCTAATGCCTCACCATGAGTTTTGGTACCGCCTTTCTGATGATATAAATATGTTGTGAATCCCTTGTTTCTTTGCACTCGTGATCCGTAGCCATCGTCTGTTAACCGCGGGTGCCCGGAATATTCTGCAAATAAAACCTTCGAAGGTACGATTCATCGACTTCAGCCTGTATTTGGATAACCAACATCCTCACCATCCGAAATTCAACGAACACACGGGGGAAAGAAGGCCACTTTCCCCCCCAACAATGGCTTGGTTGGACTCTGTGCTAAAATCAGAATCAGAATCATCTAAAAGAACACAGATGGTCCATCTGTACTCAATCAGAATGAGAATCATCTTTATTGGCCAAGTATGTAGAACACACAAGGAATTTGTCTACGGTAGATCACGCTGCATTAGTATCATCATAAACAAGGACATGACAAATAAGTATGGAAAAATAAGTATGGAAGGACATTCGGTATTGTAAGTGAACCGTAGTGCGGTGGTACCACCCAGTGACAACTGTGAGACAATGTGCACACTGAAACTCCTCTACAACTAAATCATGTTTGCAGCAAGAAATTTTTCATAACAGGGGTTTTTCACTGTAGCAAATTTGATCTCAGATCTAAGCAAACACACACACACACACACACACACACACACACACACACACACACACAAACGTA